TTCGGAGCTCGTCCGAAACCCGGCCGCAATGCAGCGCCATCAAACCGGAAGTCCACTCCTCTGCATTATCACATGGCTTTATTTACTTTCACTTTCCAAGGCCAGTAAAAGCCCAAATGAAAGTCTAGATATTTTGGAGAGAGCCCCTCTCACCATCAGAGCATTGTGTTTAATGCCTTCCCAGTTGCACCTGGAGTCTGAATGCACACATTTTAGCCTTGAACTGCTACTGAGCCCCTGCAGAAGTGATTTAAGCAAGAAAGAGATAGATATTTCTTTCCTTTACAGTGCAACAGGAGAGAGAGAGAGAGAGAGAGAGAGAGAGAGAGAGAGAGAGAGAGAGAGAGAGAGAGAGAGAGAGAGACTAATTATGCCAGCTCCCCTCCTTCCTCCCCCTCCCACTATAGCACACTTAACCTTTTAAATGCCAGGATGCAGTGGTGTCTGATGCACATGGTCGCTTTGAAGATTGTATTGCTGTGCCCAGTAATTCCCACCCCCTGCAGTCTGCAGGAGATGCTCTATGAGAGAAGACGGGAGCTTGAAATCTCTTCCCCTCTCTCTCTCTAAAAAAGAAAAAGAAATATGGAAAGATAACACAAGTCCTCCTCTCGCAAGTCTTAAGCCACTTCCTGGTTGCTGCCACCACTGCAGGGGAATGAAGATGCTGGCGGCTGAGTCCACTGTAGCAATTCTGCTCAAGATGTGATAGAAGCAAGGCTGGAAGTCCTGGATGGCAGCACTCTCTGTGTAGAGCTGCAAAACAAATTGATCAAGGCCACTGGGTGCGCTGGAATAAATAGAGGAAGGGGCAGGCCCAGAACAGGAGCCATGTCACAGGGTCACCCTGAGCCAAGCCTCACTAGGGTTATGTGGTACACATGGCCGGCCTCCCAAGGAGTATTGCTGGGACTTGCCCCCGGTCCTCTCCATCTGGTTGACCATACAGCCAGCAGTGTGCTTCCTCACCTGCTCCTGTAAGTCGGGTGCTCCTTCTCATTCTAGATACACATTTTCATTCTAGAAACACATTTCCCCTTTAAGTCACCACGTTTTCTCACATCAGTACCCTGTACAATCCGTCTGAATAGCTTTGACATGATGTGATTCTAAGCTTTCTCAAGAAAAAGAAAAACTGTGATTTAGCATTTAGGATGGGGTTTCTTTTTCTATTAAAAAAAAGAAACTTCAAAATTTGTGGACAGGATTTTAGAAGTTTGCAGCCCAATGCAAACATGTGTTTGGTATTTAATTTTAATGTAAAGAAAAACATGTAAATGCAAAATATTTTAAATAAAACTCAGTCCTAGGAAATAGTCTTCTTTCAAAGACCATGAGATCCAGCAGAAAGTCCTGGGTTGAAGCTGCAACAGCCAGTGGGGGTTTCCAATTCAAAATTATTATTTTAATTCCATATGTGGAAATCAGGAGAGGCAGGAATATCACTTTTATTAAAAAGCAGGAACATGATGATGATGATGATGATGATGATGATGATGATGATGATGATGATGATGATGATGATGATGATGATGATGATAACAGAGAAACTCTGACAGAGGACAGATCTTGGGGTATGGGTGGACCGAAAGTGTGATGAGGCCACAAAAAAAGCTAATGCGATCTTGGAGTGTATCAACAAAAGCATAACATCCAAATCACAAAATGTCATAGTCCTGCTGTACACTGCATTGGTCAGGATGCACCTAGAGTATCGTGTGCAGTTCTGGATGCCTCACTTCAAAGGGACGTGGACAGAATGGAGCGTGTTCAGAGAAGAGCGATGAGGATGATTGGGGGCCTGGAGACTAAGCCCTGTGAGGAAAGCCCGAGGAGGTTGAGTGGGGACATGATTGCTCTCTTTGAGTATTTGAAGGGCTGTCACGTAGAGGAGGGCAGGGAGCTGTTCCTGTTGGCAGAAGAGGATAGGACTTGAAATAATGCGTTTAAACGAAGGGTGGGAAGGTACTGGCTGGATATTAGGAAAAACTTTTTTACAGTCAGAGTTGTGCAAAAGTGGAATCAGCTGCCTGGGGAGGTGGTGAGTTCCTCTCACTGGCAGTCTTTAAGCAGTGTCTGAACAATCACTTGTCTGGGATACTGTAGGCTGATCCTGCACTGAGTAAGGGGTTGGAGTAGATGGCCTGTATGGCCCCTTCCAACTCTGTGATTCTATGATTCGATGATGATGAAGAAGAAGGAGGAGGAGAAGAAGAAGAAGAAGTAGAGTCACAGTCAGATATTTGACTGTCAGGTGCTGTCTGCGATTTGAGATCTACCCAAGTTCTTGGGAACTGCAGATGTATCTTCACAGCACTCTTACTTTTCCAAGCAACACTGTCTTCGGGGGCTGAGCTGGTGCAATATTGTTTAGTGCCCACAATGTCCAGGTGTTTCTTGAGACTTCTAGGCATGGCTCCAAGGGCTCCAGTGACAACTGGCGTGATGGTATCCTTTTTCTCCCAGAGATGCTCTTACTCTGTTTGTAGATCTTGTTATTTGAGGTCTTCTGTTCTTTCTTTTTCATTCTGCTGTCTCCTGGGATTGCAACTTCAGTGATCCAAACCCAATTTCTCTTTTTTTGTACAGTTTTGATCATCATAATTAGTTGTTGAAAACAGCGATTATACAGACTCTGAAATTAATATGGTAATTTTGGAAGTTTCCCCTCTCCCCCTTATAAGCAGCAGTAGCAGAGAGGGAGAGGAAGAACATCCCAACCCCCAGCTAGTCCACAGCACACTGGACCTTTAAAGTTTAAGGACTATTATTTCCTTATCTTCTTTTATTTTCACATTTCTTTTAAAATCAATATTTTAAAATTGTAATTTAAAAATTAAATTTTAAAAATAAAACTTAATTGTTATTTAGATTTATTATTTCCTATGAGTGGAAGACCTAGCCTCTGGAGTTCTTAGAAAATAATGCATGCCTCTCTCCTCCTTAGCCACTCCTGCTGCCTCTCCTGCTCCATAATTCCCAGTTCCTAAATTATTGGAAACATCAGAACTGTAAATCACTGTGGAGGATTTTGCAGAACTGGAGTGGTGGTGCAGGCAGTACAACGTCTGCAGTAACAACGCTAGCGAACAGCCACTATGGCTGTTCAAGACCCACCGTGGCTGGGGTGAGCTCCTGGCCCTAGTCCCAGCTCCCGCCCACTCAGCGGCTCGAAAGCATTTGCAAGTGGACAAATGGGTACCTGCCCTAGGTGGCAGGGGGCACCCTCCTCCTGGTGGTGTGTGCCAGGAGTGCTGGCGGTGGTAGCGGCGGTAATGGCAGCAGAGCAGCTGGCGACCCAAGGATGCAGCGGCAGCAGAACCAGATGGAGGCAGAGCTGAGACGGCGTGACGGCAAGACAACGCAGCACGGCAGAGCCTAAGGGATGGACGCCGGAAGCTGCAGTCAGAAGCGGTCGCGCATCAGAGGAGTCCACCAGAAGCCTGCCGGAGGAAGCTGCCGGCCAGCCTGAGGTGCCGGGAACAGCATCCGAAGCCCGCCCAGAAAATCAACAAAGAGAGAACGCGCCACTTGGGTGTCGGTAGGCAGCCCCTCCCCATTCGAATTGTGGCCCTAGGTTAGGACAAAAACTACATAGTAGTATACCTGTAAACCGCTCTGAGACCCCTTAGGGGTCAAGGGCGGTATATAAATCAAATTGTAATGTAATAATGTAATATTTGATAACTGGTAGCTCAGACATTTTATAGGGCCAGCAATATCTCATTTCACACCCCTAGTTTCCAGTCGAAAAGTGTTACCTCGTTCCTCTGGGAGTTATCTGGATTGGATCCCAACCAAATCTCTCTGATTGCAGTCAAACACACTAAATAATCTACTTTCAATCCACTTTTAATGCACTTTCCAACTGGATTCTGCTAGTTCACACAGTATAAATCCTGTTAGAAGGTGCACTGAAAGTGGATTGAAAGTGGATTATTTAGTGTGTGTGACCGCAGCCTCTGTCTAAGGCTATAGTCACATACACTAAATAATCCACTTTCAGTGCACTTTCCAACTGGATTTTGCCAGTTCATACAGTAAAAATCCGGTTGGAAAGTGCACTGAAAGTGGATTGAAAGTGGATTATTTAGTATGTGTGACTGCAGCCTAAATGTCTATTTCTCTGAGACTCAAGGAACTATGGGTTAACTCAAAAGTTCTGTTTATTAGATTTTTAAAAATCTCATTCTTCCTGCAAAGTGTTCAGGATGGTATACATGCTCCCCTACTTCATGTTACCCTGACAGAAACCCTGTGAGTGGGTTAGGTCACTGGTAGACAGTGAGGACCCAAACTCTCTGGTCATAATCTAGACTTGGTTATGTTACATCAGCACTTAAGGAGGCAGATGCTGGTGAAATACATTTCTTCTACCAGATGAATGCTCTTTGCCCCAGTGGAAGGCTCACTGCACTAGAGAAAGGCAGATCAACTTTGGCATCCAACTCAGTATTTTTAAAAACCAAGGGATTTATATCTAAAAATGGCTATATAAAACACATTTAAGAACCATATCTATTAGTGAATTGAAATCTTAGCTAACCTCCCATCAGTTTTCTAAAGCCAGTATAAACAGTCACATGAATGTACTCTTGCTAGAAAATAAATTATAGAAAATATAGGTCTCTATTCCCTCCTGTTCCCATTTCTCCACCTCAGAGGATTTCTTTCTACACCTTAACACAATATTTATCAGCACCCTCTGTAAAAGGGACCTAGTGAGGAACAGACCCTCCATCACCCACTTTTCCATATATTCCTCTTTCAATGGCTTTAACTAGGTGATTCTTTTAAGAATCTTTACAAAAAAACCCTCATATCATCACATGAGAGTGCTGAGGGAAGGAAAACAAACATTCCATTTAATGGCTTGAATAATCACTCACATTTAGGATGTTGGAACGAATTACTCTAATGGTACATAATCACGGAATTAAGACTTCAGAGTCATGTTAATGTTCAATATATTGTCCCATTCTTTAATGCAACCTTCTTATATCAATAATTAGACCTCATACAGAACATATTGTAGATGGGGTATCTAACTTAAAATGTGCAGCCAAATTAAAAATAATTGTTTTCCTTAACAGCAAAACACTTCTTTTGTTATTACAGCACTAAATTGCCTGCCTCCTTTTGTTAAGGGTAAAATATTTTCTGCTTTGTTTTATTCCCCAACCTCCTATAGCACTTGTCTAAACAGCTCATCTAAGTGAGACTGATGTTTCTCAAGGACTGTAAGTGATGAGAAGATCTGCCCTTTGCTCTTCAGTTATCTCTTCACAGTTATTGTCATGCTTATCTGCAGTTCTCTGAGAGAAATAGTTCCATTTTGCTGGGTTGCAAACATTCATTTATTCAGTCCACAGCTTTGCCTCCAGGCAAGCTAGGAAAAAGTGTACCAGATCTCATCTAGTGGTGTTGCTTAACTCTGAAAGAAAACAAAACAGGAAGTATGCTTCAGGTGAACAGTTCTTTGCAGTGTTTAGCTGTAATTTGGTAAGTAACTCACCAGTGATGAGACTGAAAGCCCTTCTGATATATTGGTTACCTTTTTGGTCAAATAAAGTGAGTCCAGAAATCAGTGTGTGTGTGTGGGGGGGGGGCATTAGCATGCCTAGAATTTTGAAAATTAGGCAATGAACATAGGGCATGGCATTCTCGGAAGTGAAGTAATGGCATTTGGCCCAATTCGGCTCACTATTATATTTTAAACTACGTAGAAGTAAAATATTATAGGAGAGCTTAAATGATATGTTAAGTTTGTTTCAATACAAAATTACAAGATTTTGTAATATGGCAAAATTTGGGGGGGGGAACCAAAATTGTATGATTTGCCATCAGGATACAACATTCACATTTTTCAATTGAAATTTGAGATCTAAATTTGAAAGAACATAAAGTTTATGAAATATCATTGCTAGTTGACTGTCAGATGTCATCAGGTCTCCTCACATGCTGAGTGCTGTTTGTAATACATTGTGAGTTATTCATTGTTATTCAATATAAAATATTGTCCAATACTTACAGCTACATGTTAAATACTGTATCATAATGATTACTTCATCATAGTCACTGCCATAGAGTGTCAACTGTTAATTTGCCAGGTACTATCAAGTGTGGACTGGTGTGTGCCAGATACTGATAGCTTTTGCATGCCAGATATAAAATGTTGAATATTTATGTACACCAGTTGGATTTTATATGCTATGCAGTAGTACTAGATTGGTACAGAAAGCTGGATATTTGAGTGCCAAAATAAGTAGATATGACTTCAAGATGCAATCCAGGTTGGATAAGTATTAAATTGACTGAATCTGTCAACACCATTTTTCCAGATTTTATCATATATTGAATTCGGAACATTGCACCAGTGCAGGTTAAAAGAAAACCTCAGAGAATGGGGCCAGCTGCAGTTAGGAGACATTTTTCTACATACCTAGAGGTATGTAGCCCTCAAGTTTATAGAAAATTGCCAAAAGATTATAAAAATGGTGTACATTTAAAATACCACCAAATGGAAAATCATTTTTTTGCAGGGAATGACCAGGAAAAGTGATGTTCCTTCCTTCCCAAGCTGTGCCACACCTCACTATGGAGAAAAGGCAGTGGGGTAAAGCAGCCAGGCAGAGGAGGAGGATATGGTGGTACCTCAACAGCTGGAAGACATTATGGCAATTCTCCTTCCCCTTCCCTAAAGTTCCTTGTAAGAGATGACAGGAAAAGGGAGGAGGGGGGAGCAGGGAAAAACCAAGCAGATGGAGGCAGTGGCACTGTGAGCAAGCCAACAGGCCTGGCAGGAACCTGAGAAGCAGCAGGGAAGGAAAGAGAAGGTGGTGGGAAGGGTGAAACAGATGCCAGCTCAGATCAGCTGAAGAGGAGGAGGAGGAAGTAGAGGCAGGGGGTAGGCAGAGTAAGAGCAAGCGAGGGGAGATGAGGAAAAGGGGCAGTGTATCAAGGTAACATGATGGGATTTCCCCTCCCCCAATCTCCTGGGTCCCTATTTGTTTTACTCTAATGTTGTTTTATTATTTTGGAAGCAGCTTTGAATAAATGAGAAGTGGTGTAAAAACCATTAAAATAAATTCATGATTGTATAATTAATGAATACTTGCATATTAATAGTTGGCTCATTGATAATTATGTCTGCAATCTACATTTGATTGTTAGTGGATGTTATAATGGGATGCTTGTCATGATTACTTATAGTTCTGTCATAAGAACTCTTGATCATGAATGATGTTTGAATCTAGAATAATATGTCAGTTTACCCCATATGAGTGAATGGGCAATTTCCCTCCTTCTCTGCAATAAACTGGAACTAGGCTACATACCCTGTCTAGTGGCTGTCCCCCCCCCCCCATACCAAAGAAAAAAGATCAGCAGATGGAAGAGATGGATAAAACTCAGCCAAAGACTGAAGGTGATGGTTTGGCAGTTTAACTGCCTCATTCTCCATGTAGCAGAGGGTTCAAGACTTAAGGCAAGATTCTATTACAGCAAAGGGTATAGCAAACCTTCATGACTGACATTTCGTTATGTTATAATACAGCTCAGCTCCTGGAGAGTGGAGCTCTTAGGTGACTGAGGCAAGAAATTTTTCTGGATACATTATTCTAGACTTTGGCTTGCCAATAAGAGTACAAAAAAATCACTGCTGTATGCTGTAACCTATTTATCGTAAGGTAGTGCCCATGTGGCGTTTATTTTAGTCAATGTTTTTCAACATGGCATCCATTGCACCATGGAGCCCACTGACACATTTCCTGTATTCTACCAATTATTTTTGAAAGTTGACAGGGCCAGATGGGCTTTAGCCCAGTAGGGCTTCTGATTGGCTGCCGGAGATCAGATTGGTTGCAGAAATTTAGAAGCAGCTGCCATCAGAGCACTAGGACCTTCTCTGCTTGATTGAAGCTGTGTGTACGCAAGAAAGTATTTTGAAACAATATGTTCATTTTAGAAGGCAGAGCTTCTGCCTGAAATGCTGAAGAGTTACAATTAGAGTTATGCATGAACTCAGTCCCTGACATTTTGTGGTTGGCTCCACCTCTTGTGTGCCATTTTGTGGTTGCACCCACCAGCCTGTGCCAGGATTCTATAGGTGCCCACAAGCTAAAAAAACGTAGGGATCCCTGGTTCAAATCATAGACACTGATTTCTGACATGGTTAAAACTGTCATAACCACACAACAGAATGTTCACTACATCATGCAAATGTCTAACCATTCAGTATTGGCACTTCTCAGTGGTAAATAAACCAGCAGAGTAATTTCTGAACTTGACACTAATTTCACTGTTTGTTTTCTCTTCAGAAAGCAGATATTGCATGCCTGTTACAGAGCTGTTTCACACATTATGTTTTTATGGTATATCCATAAAGTGCTATATAGCAAGGGACACCTAAAAATATAGTGTGCATCCATGGCAACTGCATTTTTTCACACTGTGAAGCTGGGATTGGGTGGGTAGTACATCTTATGGCAAACTTGCATTTGCTATCTTATAGTGGGTAAAGCAGCTCTGTCAGCAGTCCTTTTTGGAGACTAATTGATGGTCAGTCTGCTCTTTCCTAAATGTTCTTCTGGAAGCAGTGGGGTTCCATATAAGAACATAAGAACATAAGAGACGCCAATGTTGGATCAGGCCAAAGGCCCATCCAGTCCAACACTCTGTGTCACACAGTGGCCAGAAATACCAGTGCCATCAGGAGGTCCAGCAGTGGGGCCAGGACATTAGAAGCCCTCCCACTGTTGACCCCCCCCCCAAGCACCAAGAAGACAGAGCATCACTTGCCCCAGAGCCCCTAGCTATACCTTGTGGCTAATAGCCACTGATGGACCTCTGCTCCATATGCTTATCTAATTCCCTTTTGAAGCCGTCCATGCTTGTAGCACCCACCACTTCCTGTGGCAGTGAATTCCATGTGTTAATCACTCTTTGGGTGAAGAAGTACTTCCTTTTATCCGTTCTAACCCGACCGCTCTGCAGTTTCATGGAGTGCCCACGAGTTCTTGTATTGTGAGAAAGGGAGAAAAGTAGCTCTTTCTCTACCTGCTCTTTCCCATGCATAATCTTATAAACCTCGATCATGTCACCCCTCAGTCGTCTTTTCTCCAAGTTAAAGAGCCCTAAGCGCTTTAACCTTTCCTCATAGGGAAAGTGTTCCAACCCTTTTATCATTCGAGTTGCCCTTTTCTGCACTTTTTCCAAAGCTATAATATCCTTTTTAAGGTGTGGTGCCCAGAACTGCACACAGTATTCCAAATGAGGTCTTACCATTGATTTATATAGGGGCATTATTATATTGGCTGATCTGTTTTCAATACCCTTCCTAATAATCCCCAGCATAGCATTGGCCTTCTTTATTGCAGTCACACACTGTCTCGACATTTTCAGTGAGTTATCCACTACAACTCCAAGATCTCTCTCTTGCTCAGTCTCTGCCAGTTCAGACCCCATCAATGTGTATTTATATTTAGGATTTTTGGCTCCAATGTGCATCACCTTGCACTTGGCCACATTGAACCCCATTTGCCATGTTGACGCCCACTCGCCCATCCTTGACAGATCCCCTTGGAGTGCCTCACAATCCTCACTGGTTTTCACCACCCTGAACAACTTTGTATCATCCGCAAATTTAGCCACTTCACTGCTTACTCCCATCTCCAAATCATTAATGAACAAGTTAAAAAGCAGTGGACCAAGTACTGATCCCTGCGGTACCCCACTGCTTACCACCCTCCACTGAGAAAATTTCCCACCTACACTCACTCTCTGTTTTCTATGAACTAGCCAGTTTTTGATCCATAAAAGGACTTATCCTTCTATCCCATGATTTTTGAGCTTACTTAGGAGCCTTTGATGAGGAACTTTATCAAAAGCTTTCTGGAAGTCAAGGTAAATAATATCTATTGGATCCCCCTTGTCCACATGTTTGTTCACCCCCTCAAAGAACACTAACAGGTTAGTGAGACAAGATCTTCCCTTAAAGAAACCGTGCTGAGTCTGCCTCAATAGGTTTTGTTCATCTATGTGCCTACTAATTCTTTCCTTAATAATGGTTTCCACCAATTTACCCGGTATCGACGTCAGACTGACTGGCCTGTAATTTCCCGGATCTCCTCTGGAACCCTTTTTAAAGATGGGAGTGACATTAGCTACCTTCCAATCCTCAGGAATGGAGGCAGATTTTAAGGAAAGATTACATATCTTTGTCATATATTTTATCTCAATAGTACAGTTGTTTCACACCCACTTCACAAGTGCCAAACCTGGTTAAGCAACAGTTCACTCCAACACCAGCAGTCTGCTCAATGTTTAGAAATTCAATGTAATTTTTCCTGTTGTTTTTGTTATTGCTCACTATTAAAGTTCCATAGTTTCTATAGCTTAGTCTATGCCAGAATGATAGGCACCTTGCTGAGGTTG